TGACTAATCACCCCACCTCACACCCAGAGAAAAACCTAGGGGCACAGAAAGCCTCTTCCTATTGTATTAATCTCTGTAGAAGAAGATGGTTTAACCCTCAAGTTCAGACAAACCACCTTGCTAACATCCAAGCTCATTCTCTAAAGGAAGGCCATCCACCCACCCATCCATCCATCCATCCATCCATCCATCCATCCATCCTTCCATTTATCCATTCATTGATGCATCCATTCACCCTTCTGTCCACCTGTCCACTTGTTCTTCCTCCCATCCATCCATCCATCCATCCATCCATCCATCCATTCTTCTGTCCATCCTTCTATCCATCCATCCTTCCATCTATCCATCTAATAATTACTATTATTGGCCTACTACGTGCCCATCAGTATGGTAGATGTTGGGATGCAATGGTGAACAAGCCAGACCAGGGCCCTGCCCTCGTGGAGTTTATGGAGGAAGTAAGTACCTAAAAAAATGGGCCAACAATGACCCTGATCTTCTCCTTCCAAGATCCCTAACTGTGCTCTTAGAACCAAAGACAGTTTTTGTTTGTTTTTTTGTTTGTTGTTTTTAAGGAGCATCTGGCTGTTGTCCCTTATTTTTATTTGATATTGCAGTTCAGAGAGGCTAAGTGGCTTGATCAAGGTCACACAACGAGGGCGTCTCAGGGACAGGGTAAGTATCCAGCTTTCCTGATTTCCAGGGCTTTGCCATTTACCTCTAACCCCCACCACATGTGAGCGGCACTCATGGCCAGCCCTGTTCATAGCACTTGGCATGTGTTTCTCACTGAATCCTTACCACCACCTTGTAAAGACTACTCTTATTCTCATTTGACACCTTAGGAAACCGAGGCACAGAGACGTTCAGTTACTTGCCAAAGTACAACCTGAATTTTAACACCCAGGCAGGCTGACTCCCGAAATGCCCCCACTTCTTGGTCCCTGGTTCTTCATTAATATGGATAAAGAGTTAGCCGTGACAACTACTGGCAAGCCAGTCCCACCTCGGGGCCTCATTTCCCCATCTATATGATGAGATGGCGGTCTAGATGGTTTCAGGGTCCCACCTCTGACCTCTGTAGACCTTTGAAACCCCAGCACCTGCCCCCACTGGGTCCCAGTGTGTTGCTGAAGCTACTCTTGTTCATGTCTGCAGGCACTTGGTGAGGCCATCAGATAAGCCAAAGGCCCCCCGATGTGATCGGGGACTCGTGTTATTCAGATACGGGGTTCTATGACATTCCGTGGGGACGCCTCTGGATATCCCAACCCTTGGGGGTAAAATCTGCTAAGGTTTGGTTAGCAGTACTCGTTTTAGAAAGTCGAGCTCTGTCACTCACCAGCTTAGGCCAGTTACTCAGTTACTCTGAGCTGAGGTTTGCTCATCTGTAAAGTGGGCGGGGTGCCTGCAGTAAAGGTGGCTGTGAGGGTGAAACGCAACAGTGTGTGACAAGGGCCAGGTGCCAAGTGGTGCTTACTGTCAACAGAATCTAAAAGGCAGTGCTGGGCTCAATGCAGCTCAGAGAACGCCCCTGGGACGTACCGGGTGGTGACATAAGACACGCAGTTTTAAACCCACCCCAACTGTTCTGCAAGAACAAGGCCTTGTGGACAAGGTCACCCATAGCAGAAGGGGTAAGTTGTGTCCTAACTGCTCGAGGGTGCTCGGGAGGGTTTGTGGTTTGCAGGTGGGGGGCAGGAAGCGGGGTGGGATGAACACGGCTCTCCAGGTAAAGGGAGAAACTGAGGCAAACGCAGGAGCACTGGGACAGCTTCTCCTCCCACCCAGTGGTAAGGCAGTGGGACAAAGTGCTGGTCCGGGAGGCCAGAGACCTGGGTCTGACTCCTAGTCTGCCTCTGGCGCTGTGCGTCCCTGGGAAAGCCTCTTCCCCTCTCTGGGCCTTAATCTCTCCACTTGGAAAAATGAGAGGCTCATCCAAGATGACCTTGACCATGTGTCTCAGACCTACAAAATGGAAGCAACAGCCTCAACCATGCCCCACCCCCCCCCACCCGGGGGGAGGGGTGCTGCACAGCCCTCAGCAACAGTAGACACTCAGTGAATGCTCGGCTGGTGGCTTAGTCATTACAGGATTATAACGTGAGAGTGTCTGTGCTCTCCAGCCACTTGGGTCTCAGACCTCCGTGCAAACTCAAATCCTTTCCTTTGCGAGCATCCGGGAGAATCAGACATCATTATCCCTCCCTTACTTCTGTTAAAAAAAAAAAACAAACAAACCAAAAACCCAAAAGCAGTGATATGACTGAGCAACGTTCTCAGACCACTTGTGCCACTTCCTGGGGCAAGCCTCGCCAGCAAACAGAGGAGTATTACTTAATGCCACACGTGTCCGAGACCAGGGGCTCAGCAAATCACCCTTGGGGCCCCATTCGGCTCTGAGATATGGAGTGAAAATATTTTGTCTGGATACGGGAGGACCAAAAAATATACTCTGGGTTTTAAGCCTTAGAGCTGAGCTTCTCAGACTATAAAGGAACCCCCTGGGATCCTGTCAATGCACAGATTCTGGTTCAGTAGGCCTGGGTGGTGCCCGAGGGTGGCCTTCCACCTAAGTTCCCGGATGCTGACGCTGCTGGTCCACGGACCACACTGTGAAGAGCAGGGACTTAAGGCTCTTTCTTTTTAAAAAAAAATACGAAAGAAAAATGTATTCGTCTCCTAATAAGAAGCCCCAAGGTAGGGTGACCTCTGTGCTCTGCTATCCGCACGGACCTCGCGCTGAACAAAGCTTTAGTTGCAAGCGTGTGTGAGAAACCAGCTTCTGTGACCTGTCGCGTTGGGCTTGTGGAGGCTCCCTACTCTCTTAGGGTCCCTGACCGCCACTGTGCCTGAAAGCGTCACTTAAGACACACACCAGGATTCCCCAGCTGGATCCGAACACGCAGGCAACTGGCATCGGGCAACCAGAATTCCAGAGACGAGACGTCACTCCTGGTCGCTCTCCTGCATTCCCTCTGTCTGGTCCGTCAGCCATTCTGCTGTCTCTCCATCAGAATGACTCCTGGGGCAGCCCTTCACCCCAGAATCTCGGCTGCCCTCGCTGAGGCCACGTTTCCTCACGCCTGGCCGGTGGGGACGCCTCCTCAAGTCTGCCCAGGGGAAATGCACCCTGCTGTCTTCCCCAGCTCAGCCGCCAAGGTGGCTCAAAGCCCTGCCCGCTGGGCTCCTGCCCCCAGTGACCTTCTCCTGTGTGCTCTTTCCTCCCGTGTTCCTGCACATGCTGTTCTCGTGATTCCATTCTTCTTCCTCCTCCCACCCTCCACTCCCCACGAGCCAGGGCTCCAACGGGAAGTTGGTGCCACTTTCCCTAGGTACCTTTTTAATGTAATTTTCTGTAATTTTTCCAGCAAAATTTTGCCCCATGTGACGGTCTGGAGGTTGTTGGGATTTCACCGGTCATTCTCTGTTCCTCCTCCCTGCTTGCCGTCAGAATAAACATCGGAGGTCTTTGTGCCAAAACCCCTCGCCAGCTCAGGGAACAGAAGAAGCCGCACACACAGTAACAGGGGAGCCCGGGCAGAGAGGAGGTGGTGGGGAGAATCTGATGCGGAGCTACGGGGGCAGGGGGCTGCTCACGAGGCAGCCCAGGTGTTTGATGGAGAGCACCCTGGGGTGCTGCAGGGGGTTGAATGGTGACCCCAAAAGATACATCCACGCCCTGACACCTGGGGACGTGACCTTATTTGGAAAAAGGATCTTTGCAGATATAATTACGTTAAAGATCTCCAGATGAGGACACCCTGTACAACGTCCTTACAGGAGGCGGGGAGAGGACAGCAAAGGGAGGAGAAAGCCACGGGACAATGAAGGCAGAGACCAGAGAGATATGGCCACAGGCGGAGGAACACTGGGAGCTAGCAGAATCTGAAAGAGGCAAGAAGGAGTCTCCCCAACAGCCTTCAGAGGGAACAAGACCCTGCCTGACACCTTGCTTTCAGAATTCAGGCCTCCAGAGCTGTGCGAGAATACATTTCTGCAGCTTCAAGCTGCCCAGTTTACAGTAATTTGTCATGACAGCCCCAGGAAAGAAAGCAGGTAGAATCCCACACTGCCACTTGCTGTGCAGCTTTGGGTAAATCACTTAACCTCTCTGAGCCGACTTCCTCATCCACAAAACGGGGCAGTAAGATCTATCTCATTAATTCATTCAACAGATAGCTACTGAGCATGTACTATGTTCCAGGTGCTATGTTAGGTACTAGAAATACGTGGTGAAGGAAACCAGATGTGGTTCTGCCTGCCTGGCACTTATGGTCCGGAGGAGAAGTCTGCAAAGAATCACGTAACCATTCAACTGCAGCTGTGGCCACGTGGTGCTGGGAGGAGCATCCCAGACGGGGGGTGGGGGTGAGGGGGTGGGGGCAGAGGCTTCCCCAGGGAATAGATGCCTGAGTGGAGGATTGAGGGCAAGGTAGGAGTAACTGGATAAGAGGAGCAGGGAAGGACATGTGCAAAGTCCACGGTGCAGGAAGCACAGGCGCTTGGGGAGGCCGCTGTGGAGAGGGGGGACAGGTGTGCTGAGAGATGAGGCGGGGTAGGCTGGGGGCCACGCTCCTGAGGGCAGTGGGAGCCGCGCGTGGTCCCACGTGCATCTGGAAAGATCACTGAGTTGCAGCGTGAGAACAAAGTGCTGACTGGAATGGAGGCAGGAAGACCAGTGAGGATGCCAGGAAGGGGCAGTGGTGGCTGGGGCTGGGATGGCAGGTGGAGACAGCGAAGGAACCAGACCCAAGAGCTACTTAGGAGGTAAAACTATGGGGCCTTGAGAAATAACTATCGAGCACCCACAATGTCTGGCACAAACGAAGTGCTTACTGGCTCCCCCATTACACAAGGGTCCCTCTCCTTCCCTGCACCAAAAGACCATGGTGGGGGCAGGGGGGTAGGTCCACAGGTCGCAACACCTGTCACTGGCTTTCCTGGCCAAGGGTGGAGATGAGCACCCCAAATATACAGAACTTAGAAAATCAACTCACCATCCTGGAGGGAGAAGCTCAGAAGGTCCTGGGGGAAAAGGGGACAGGAATTAGCAATACGTTCGATATGTAACTAGCCTGCTTGTTTGAACAGCACTTACTGACTTTTACCAAGTGGGGGAACGAGACCGACAAAATATCTCTGCCCTGTGTTCTAGTGGTGAGCCAGCCACACAGGTAGGAAGATAAAGAAAGAAATGGGTAAGACTTTCAAGGAGGGAAACCCACTGATTCGACAACAGCCCGCGTCATAAGCTGCCTGCTGTAACTGCACCCTGAGCAGGTTGAGTCACGCACCCAAGGGCACAGAGCAGAGCTCCTGCTTCCAAAAAGAGGCACCACAGCTTAGCACTCAGGAGCCTGGACTCTGGGGTCAGACTGCCAAGGTTCAAGTCCCGGCTGAGCCACCTGTCAAGCTGCATGACCCTGAACAACTTACTTAACCTCTCGGGGCCTCAGTTTTCCCATTTATAAAATGGGGATGATCATGCAATCTAACTCATAAAGTGGCTTGCAGAATTAAATGGACTAATATTTGTAAGGTGCTAGCACATAATAAAGCACTGTTTAAGTATTAAATTAAAGCCATGGTAAATATTCAGTAATGGTAACTTACTATTAGCTCTGATCATCATCCTGTGATATTACGACGAACTGTTTTAGCTTTCAATGACCCCACCCCACTAGAAGCGATTTCTAGGCTGACTCTGAAAGGAAATCATTTGTTCTTTCCCCAGCAGCCAGCTGCACCGCCCGGGTGGTGGGTGTACCTGAATGATCACCAATGGGTCGTCCTTCAAGATGGGGTCCTTCAATAAAATGGCAGCAAACACGTCTGCTCCTTCGCCTCCCAGGCCGTTGGCAAAAGCGGTCATGGTTGGCAAGACGGCTCCAGGCAACTCCAGCCACTTCACCAGGCCCGCCACAAACTCCGTGCAGAAGGAGCTGTAAGACAGACATGGCTTAGATCCCAGGGCTCCCAGAACACGTCTCATGAGGCCACTGGGAAGTTCGGGTGAGATGCGTTCATGGGTGTGAACAGCCAGCTTGTACAAAAACCATGGTGACCGTGACCCACGGAAGGAGACAGAGAGCCAGAAACTTAATTTCAGGATGTGGATCTTAGCTTCTTCCCCCACCAGAACTTTCACCAAAGCAGCTGATGAGCCACAGGAAGGAGGGTAATGAGCAGTTACTGACCGGTGCCCTGCGCCCGGCCTGTGCCGGGGGATTGAGGAATCAGAGGAACAAGGCACCCCCGCCTCAGGGGAGAAGCTCACAGACACGTACGTGACTCACACACCCTCGTGCCCTGCCACAGGCCAGGCCAGAGGCAGGAATGGAGCCCCATGTGTCCAGAGAGGCAGTGCCCAGACCCACCTGCAGAGGTGAGGGGCAGCTGCTAGAAGCTGCTAGAAAAGGCATCCTACAGGTGATTTGATTTGCTGCTGTCGGAAGTCACTGAGGACATGCTTTCAGGAAAGAAGTCGGCCACTGCAGGAGCAGGTAAGCGCACAGGAAGGGTCTTTCCCCCCACGGTGCCCATGGCCGTCGTTTGCTTTAGTCCCACAGGAGTCCCTGGGCAGGTGATGGGCCCCTGGAGGACTCCAGGAGGAAAGGGACCCCTGAGCTGTGGGAGGCACACAGCGTTTGGGAGACTGGGACAGAGTCCACATCAGGCTTTGCTTCAAAGCCACCAACGTTCCTCGCAGTGACCGTGGTGAACTAGGTGGGGGGATGGGGGGCCCCCGGAGCAGGGGGTCAATTAGGAGGTGAGTCCACCAGTCCAGAAAAAAAAGGCTGAGGCCTCGAGGCCAAGTCTCTCTGCAAACCCACGTCCCAGCCTGCCTTGACCACACTACCCTGGGGCTCCTCATGCTGGCTTCTGCACCCTGGGTTCTGATGGGGCCAGGGTGGAATCAGGTCTCCCCAAAACAAATTGAGCTCCCTGGTGGTGTGGGCAACCTCGGGGGTGGGCCCCATGGATCCCAGGCAGCCCACCCACCCCCTCCCTAGAGCCGCCAGTGCCCAAGCCCAGTGGAGAGGTCTCTGCGGGCCAGCTACAACCCTGGCCTGACAGTGTTAATGGTTCAGTCTCCAGGAAGCAAGACTGGCCGCCAGGCCGAGCTGCACTGCAGCCTCACCAGAAGCCTCAGCCAACCCTGCAGGGAGATAGGAGACCCTTCAGGGCTGCCCCCAGTGGGGCCTTTCCACGCCCGCCCCATCAGGCCATCACTGGAAGAGGGCTGCCCAGGAAGGGGGCAGAAGCGTGGGCAAGACGGCTCTCCTCAGCCGAGGCAGCCCCGGCCGTGCGGGCAGCCCTGTCTCAGCAGTGGCGAGAGGAGGCCATTCCCGAAGGGACATCTGGGTAATGTGGCACCGTGCCAAGTAAACTGACCTCCTCTTGTCCCAGTTTCCCTATCTGCAAATGGGCTTAAGAGACCAACTTCAAATGTGTTTAATGTTTATTTATTTTGTGTGTGTGTGTGTGTGTGTGTGTGTGAGAGAGAGAGAGAGAGAGAGAGAAAGAGAGTGTGTGGGGGAGGGGCAGAGAGAGAGGGAGACCCAGAATCCAAAGCAGGCTCCAGGCTCTGAGCTGTCAGCACGGAGCCTGACGGGGGGCTTGAACTCATGGACTGAGAGATCATGACTTGAGCCGAAGTCGGACGCTCAACCGACTGAGCCATCCAGGCGCCCTGAGACCAACTTCATTAAGTTGTTTGAGGACTCAATGAGATGATACATAACGAAGCATCCAGAGCAGGGCCTGGAATGTAGGAGATCCTCAAGTCATGTCAGCTGGCCTCACTGCTTTGGTTATAATGTGGCCAAGGGAGGCAGCGGAGAATAGGTTTCAGAGTCAGGCTCTGAAGCCCGGTGCCCAGGGAGTCCTGGCTCCCTCAGCGGCTGGGTTCATGTCCTTACTTCACTTCTCTTAGCTTCATTTTCCTCTGCTATAAAATGCGGATGTGCCTCAGAGATTGGATAGAAAGATTAAGTGACATCGTAATAGGGCCTGGCACCTGATAACCCTTCAATAAATGCTAGCTATTGCTACTACAATTACAATTTACCCCACTGCAATCTACTGGGATAACCCCGGGGGTGGTTACATGGGTGTGTATGGAGGCAGGAAACGACGTAGTGAACTAAACATTCCTTCGGAGTAAACTAAGCAGGGCCTGGCCCTGTGTCCAACAAGAAAGTCTTGGATATAGACAAGCATCTCCTAATAAGAGTGGAGGCGTAGAGAGCACAGCCTCTGGTTCAAATCTCAGCTCTGTCACTGGCTGTGTCATCTTGGACCAGTTACTCAACCTCCGTGTGCCTCAGTTTCTTGGTCTATAGAATGGTGGCGATAATGACGAAACCCATTTCACAGGGTGGCCAGCCGGATTAAGTAAGTTAACATATGGCCTTGTGCTCAGAACAAGAGCTGGCCTGTATAAAGCGCTATGCGTGTGTTTCTTTAAAGGAACAAATGAATAAATATGGTCGTAAAGCGGCAGCACAGCCATTGATTAAACAACAAACAGCGTTTAGATCAGCGGGGTTTTGGTAATCGCTTCTAATGTGGTTGTTGGTTTATCGAAATGTGTGATATCAGCAGCAACCGTGATCACAAAAGACAATCACAGAGCAACTATCTGTCAGTCCCTGCGCTAGGTAAGCACCTTCTACACACCGACTCATTTACTTCTCGCCATACCCCTTCCAGGGACGGACGTGTTATTTTTACTCCAGTCCAGAGATCAGGAAACCTAGACCCAGAGAGGTGACATGACAGCTCTAGAGTTCAAACCCCCCATCTCCATGACACCAGGGGCCGTGTTTAACCACCGCAGAGACTGCCCCTCTCCAGGGATTATATTCCCGGGCACTCACCAAGCTCTGGGCACTGGCTGGGCAGGTGCATCAAACGTCCCCTTGCATCCTGCACCACCCCCTCCCCCCCTTCCCCACGGATGGAGCACGTGGGCTGCAGAGGTTCAATGCCATATCGAGACAAAGCCTCAACAGGAATCCAGCGTTTCTCACGATGAGTCCAAAGCTCCAGCACCAGGGGCCGGCAAACTACCCACGTGGGCCAAAGCTGGCCCTGCTCTTGTAAATGAAGTTTTACTGGAACACAGCCACACTTATCCTTTACATGTTGTTCCTGGCTCCTACCAGGCTATGGCAGCAAAATTGAGTGACGGCCACAGCAGCTACGTGGCTCGCAAGCTTAAAATACCTGGTCCTCTACAGAAAACGTTTGTAGTTCCCTACTCTACCCCATTAATTTCTCCATGCTTAATAAACAGAGTTAATTTTAGGGAATATTATCTGTGATGTTTATGGCTCAGATAATAAATACATTAAAAAGGCTTGCTTTTATGTCCCACGTGACAAAAAAATCCAGAGTGTTTTTCTAAAGATTACTGAAACTGGGGCACCTCGGGTGGCTCAGTTGGTTGGGCACCTGACTTTTGATCTCGGCTCAAGTCATGATCTCATGATTCCTGAGCTCAAGCCCCGAGTGGGGCTCTGTGCTGATGGCTCAGAGCCTGCCTGAGATTCTGTCTCTCCTTCTGTCTGCCCCTCACCTGCTTGGGTGCTCTCTCTCTCTCTCTCACTCAAAATAAATAAATAAAATTAAAAGGAAAAAGATTACTGAAATCAACAAGTATATCTGGGTTGTAAAATGACTGAAGTCATTTTTAAAATGTGTTTTAGGGCTTCGGGTGGTCTGGTCGGTTGCTGGCCCTGACTGCTCAGGTCATGATCTCACGGGTCCCGGAGTTCGGGAGTCTCGCTGCCGGGGTTCTCCTGGTGCTGACAGCTCCAGAGCCTGAGCTGTTTCAGTTCAGTCTCCCTCTCTCTGACCCTCCCGCTCATGCTCTGTCTCCCAGTCTCAAAAAAATGTTAAAAAAAAAAAAAAATGAAATGTGTTTTAGGCCTAAGAAAACAGAGATCTCGTGGAATGAACTGACGACTGGATTGTAAACTTTCAGAAAGGAAATACCCCAGGGCAAGTGCTTCTGGCCAGGCAAGAGCATGTGTGGCTGGGGTGGTACCTGGATGTGTAGGTGTTTGGGGGGGGCTAGCACACAGGGATAACCTCCACTTCTCCATGTGCCATCCTAGGGGGGGCCCAGCACAGGCCTGGCACACAGTGCAGGCTCATGATTTACAGGGGTTTGAAAATTTTAAACAAATGTCTTTTTAATTAAAAAATTTTTAATTTTTAAAAAATTTTTTAAAATATTATTTTATTTTTTTATTAAAAATTTTTTTTTAATGTTTATTCATTTTTGAGAGAGAGAGAGAGACAGAGTATAAGCAGGGGAGGGGCAAAGAGAGAAGGAGACAGAATCGGAATCAGGCTCCAGGCTCTGAGCGGTCAGCAAAGAGCCCAATGTGGGGCTTGAGCCCACGAACCATGAGATCATGACCTGAGCTGAAGTCGGATGCTCAGTCGACTGAACCACCTAGGCGTCCCTAACTTTTTCTTTTAAGTGTTTATTTATTTTTGAGAGAGAAAGAGACAGAGCACGAGCAGGAGGGGGCAGAGAGAGGAGACACAGAGTCCGAAGCAGGCTCCAGGCTCTGAGCTGTCAGCACAGAGCCCGATACGGGGCTTGAACTCACGAACTGAGAGATCCTGATCTAAGCCAAAGTTGGATGCTTAACTGACTGAGCCACCCGGGCGCCCCATGAACATCTGCTGATGTGAACAAAGTACACAAAGTTCTACCCACTATGTACTGGCTTGTCAGCTACACCAAGCTGTACGGGAGGCTCTGGGGACTTACAGGTGAACCGGGCAGCCCCCGCCCTCCAAGAGCCCAAACTGGAGGGGTGGTGGGTATGGGAAGAGCGTGGTGGTCGCAGGGCTGGGTCGCTGAACATGTGGCTGGAGAAATACCCTGGTCTAGGGTGTGGGGAGGGTCCCAGAGGTGCCCCCCAAGTAGAGGGCTGTGCTCAAGTATTCAGCGGGACGGATGAAGATAAAAAACAAACAAAACAAATAAAAACCCAGCTAAGACCTAAAGCATGGGGAAGTTTACTCACGGGGGACCTTTGGGGAGGAAGTCCTGAAAATACTATAGATGCAAAAAATCTCCTGTCATTTCCTGCCCTCATCTGTCGCTTCCACTCTCGGTGATGGTATTTCTGTCCGTCTAGCCCCACCCTCCACCTCGAACTTTGGGGCCATAGACAGCTCCTCCCCCTGCCCCATCCACAGCATCCAACCTGTCCCTGAGTCAACTCCATTCTCCCCAAGGAAAGTCTTACCTGTGCGCCCCCCCCCCCCCCCCCCACGCCTACCCCCTGGTCACAGCCCTGGGGAGACACAGAATCCAAAGCAGGCTCCAGGCCCTGGACCACTCCGTCTGCCTCCCTACGCCCCCTCGTCTTGCCTCTAAACTCTCTTCCCCAAGAACCCTCAAAGGCTTGGAGGCTTTTCACAGCTCTGCTATTCTGACTCCAAATGTGTGATTGAAACACACCTGTCCTAGATGCCAGCAACAACAGATACTAATGTTGTCATTAAACCCATCAATCTTTTGTTCCTATGACACCTGGTTTGAACTCACCCGGGCACTTACCCCATCTGTCTAGTATAATGGTAGTCAGTTATTGGGTGCCTTCCCCCATCCCAGACCATAAGCCCCTAGAGGATAGGAGCCAGGCCTTGCTTGTTTTCTCCACAGGGCCTAGCACGACACCCAGCACAGAGTAGGTGCTCGACGAAGGCATACTGCATGCATGAATAAGCATCTTTTCTCCATTAGGCTGTGTCCCGTTTATGGGCAGGGACAGCATTGGCCTTGTCCATCTCATTTGCGTATTCCTTCCATGTACTCCAAATCATGCCTGGCACAAAGTAGGTGCCCAGAAAATGCCTGGTGAAGGTATGAATGAGTGAGTACTGAAGGAAGGCTATCTAATCCTCTAGACTGTGAGCTCCTTCAAGGCAAGGGCAATGACTTTCTCCTCTTTGCCAGTAATACCCGGCAGGTGGCTTGGCTGTCAGTAACTGCCTCCCCAAGGAAGCATGACATTTCCTCTGTAAGGACAAAGGCACTCACCTTTGCTCAGGTTCTGGAAATAGCTGGGACAGGGAGATGCCACAGAGGGCGGCATAGGCAAAGCGGTTGGCCTCAGCCAGCTCCCGGCCCACGGGCAGATGAGGCTCCCCCTCCACGGCTGGCTCGGCCACCGGAGGCAGCCCCTCACTTGAACTGTTGCACGTGGCCATTTCCAGCCCTGCAGGAAAAAAAAAAAAAAAATCTCAGTGAAAAACGCAAACGGGGGTGAGGGGTTAGGCCAAAGTTACTCAAATGGACACAATAACTACCAATCATGAAAGAAAAGACTGATAAATAGGCCTTCATCATCTTCGAGAGAGTGAAAACACACACCATGGACTGGGGGAAGATATTTTCAGTATGTGTATCAACAAAGGATTTGTATCCATAGTATATAAACGATTCTTATAAGTCATGGTGAAATAGAAATGAGGCAAATTTAAAAACTGGCAAAAGACTTGAACAGGCACTTCATAAAAAGATATCCAATGGCCAATAAGTACATGAAGAGGTGTTCAACACCATTAGTCATCAGAGAAATAAAATTAAAACTCCAAGATACTGCTACTTACTCATCAGAATGGCCAAAATTAAAAGCCTGACAATCCTAAGTGTCGGTGAGGATAAGGGACACACAGAACTTGGACACACGGCTGATGAGAGTATTCATGGTACAACCTTCTGGAAACTGGTTTGACTTTATCATTAAAGCTAAACGTGTTTTATACGCAATTCTGTACCCCAGCAATTCTACTCCTGAGAAATGAGGGCTTTTGTCCACCACGGGGCATGTACATGAATGCTCATAGAAGCTTCATTCAGAATAGTTGCAAGCTGGAAGCAAGCCACATGTTTGTCCACAGCGGAATGGGTAACTTTGCCATATTTGTAGCATGGAATATTACAAAACAATGAAAAAGAATGAAGCCTGGCTAACCACAACAATAGGAGTGAGCCTCACAGACACAATGATAAACAGATACACTTATCTGCGGAACTGAGTTCATTCCATACCTTCCCAGTCTAAGGTAAAAGAAGACAGAAGAGAGGTTGCCCATGGCAAGCCATAAGTATTGGCTCAGAAGGGGCACAGTGAGGCTTCTGGGTGATGGAAATCTTCTCTATCACCCAGTGCTGATTACATGTGTATAAATACGTTTAAAAACTTATCAAGCTGTATGCTTAAGATTTGTGCACTCTGTGTATGTTATGCTTTAATGAAAGGAAGGAAAGAAGGGAGGGGAGGAGGTCTCCTTTCTCCCCTCCTTTTATTCTTTCCTTCCTTCCCAGGGGCAGAAGGTGAAGCAGAGAAGGCAGGGGAGGGAACAAACCAAGCCAAGCCAGGCATTCAAGGGGCAGGAGGGGTCCTGGGAGTGGATACCAGGAAGGGAACCCGCCTCGACCACAGGGCACTGTGGATATGAATGCAGGCTCAGAACCAGACAAACCTGGGCACGAATCCAAGCACCTCCATCTGATAGATACGGAGCCCTGGGCAGCTCAACCTCTCTGCACTCACATTTCTTCACCTGCCGATGGGACTATAACATTATCTGCCTGGAGGAACTGGGTTAGCAGTAAATGACATAGCCATGTAGGTTAGTATTTGTAAAGCACTTAGCACAAAGCCTGCCAAAGGGCCCGTGCCACATAGATGTCTGTTAAGAAAATAAATGCATTAAAAAAGTCAACAAAGAAATCACTGAAATGCTCAGCACACAGCAAGGTGTATAGATAACGACAAGAGCTAACATTACGTGCCTGTTGCTGGGGGCCAGGCCCTGGGGCTGCAACGTTAACATGTTCAGTCTTGGCTAACTCTATGAGCCCAGGCATCACCATAATGTCCAGGCTCAGAGGAGAAGTAAATGAGTCCGGGTCACCCAGCCAGTAAATTGCAGACTGGAGCCCAAAGCCAGAGCTCTTGGCCACTACCTCTGTTTAAATACTCATCACAACTGCCAAGAGATATCAAGTCTCATACCCACACTCAGCACTGCCTTTGGCCCATAAATGCATTCTTCTCCAGCTGAGCAATAAAAATGTTTATCCTCAGGGGTGCCTGAGTGGCTTAGTCGGTTAAGTGTCCGACTTCGGCTCAGGTCATGATCTCGCGGTTCGTAAGTTCAAGACCCACCTCGGGCTCTGCTCTCTCTCTCCCTCTTTCTCTGCCCCTTCCCCATTTGTGTGCGCGCGCTCTCTCTCAAAATAAATAAATGAACTTAAAAAACAATTTTATCCTCAAAATATTATCTCTACAGAGGAGTTATTAAAAGTCCGTGCAATATTAAATATTAAAGTCTGTGAAACTAAATATTTCGTTAGTTTTTCAAAGTAACCCTGAAGCAACAAGTCAACTTGTGTAGAAACATAACAGTTTGCAAAACACTTTACAATGCACTTAAATCTCACAACTACTACGTACGGTTAAGAAGGACATGAGCTATTAGGATTCCCTCCTGTAGCTGAGAAACAGGCTCAGAGAGGCCAAGGGCTTTTCCCAAAATTACACAGTAACTAAGTAACGAAAGTCACACCAGACTTCCGGCTCCAAACCCTGGGTTCTTTCCTCTATGTATGGACAGGGATCCTTCTTCCCTTGTTTCAGATGAAGGAACCGAGGTCCAGAGAGGTTAAGACCATGGCCAGTGTCACCCAGCAAGACTGGCCTCCAATGGTTGCTCCAGAAACCCAAGTTTGAGGTTCGCAGCAGATCTCCCTGGCTCACAGGATCAGCCCAGACCGTGGTGGTGGACAAAGGGGACAAGTTACAAACGAAGGGGTAAGGGCAGCACCCAGCCATGATGTGGCAGGCTTAGTGATTTAATCCACTCCATTCAGAGGTCGTGGTAATTGTGCCTCTCACCCAGAAGAGCCCAAGATGGTATTTTATCGGGCTGGTACTTGGAGGGCCCCATGTTAGTTCTCAGTTCAAGAATAAATAGCCTTCCAGTCAGAGAAGCACGAGCTGGCCTGTCTCTATCCACAGGGGAGAGGGGATGAGCTTGGGGCACAAAAAAGCTCAGATCAGGTCAAACTGCCTCATTCATTCAACAAGATACACTCTTGATGTCCTATAATCCCTTCTCTACACAGCAGCTGTAGTGGCCCTTTTGTCATATATACCAATCATGTCACTTGCCCGCTTAAAAGTCTCCAAAGGCGTCCCCTCACACCAGGACGCACACTAATCCCCTTAGGATGGCCCTTGCCTGGCCCTGGACTCATCTCACGCCCCCCCAACCCGGCCTGCTCACTACCCTACGGCCACATTGGCTGGCCATCGATGTGCTTGCAAATATGCAAGCTGGTCCCCCCTCCAGGCCTTTACACCTGCCGTTCCCCTGCCTGGGACACTCTTCCTCTGACCTTCACATCATTCTGCCTCAGCCTGAATGTCACCTCCTCTGAGAGGCCCTCCCTGACCTCTCAGGCTCAAGTACTCCTGCCCTTCTACCCTAGCACCCTGTTCTAGTTTTATACTTACTCCCATCTTAAATAATATACATGCAAATTATTTATTTACCCATGTATACCAACAGAACATAAGCTTGAGGGAGGCCCCTGGTTGTTTTGTTTTTTGTTTTTTGTTTCTTTTTTACTGCCATGCTTCTAGCTCTCTGAACAGGCTGTGGAATATTGCAGGCATTCGATAAATATGTGCTGGGTGAATGAAGAAGGGAACGTGATGTGTGACACCCTGGTCTGGGCCTTGGGACAGATCAGATGACAAACTGACAAATTCCCTGCTTGCGTTCTGGTGGGACACAGGCAGCAATACAGCAATATATAATAATAATCTAAGTAACTTGCCCAAGATCATGTGGCTGGTAAGTGGCAGAACCAGAGTCACAGTCAGGTCTGACGGTCGGATCCATGAAGGGATCATCGGGAAAGAAGCATTCGGATGAGGGGGATGTGAAGTGATGTGGCAAGAGGGGGTGATGACGGTGTGCAGTTGAAAGGGACCGCTCTAGCGGAGGCCTGCAGGAAGCAAGGGCGACAGCCGGGCAGGTGGACAGGAGAGGGTATTCCGTAAAGGAAGCCGTGCGGTGGTAGAGACAGACGAGTAAAAAGACGATGACAAACCAGCAGGATAAACGTAAGGGCAACACGGGTGGAGGGATACAAACAGGGGCCTGCCACCCAGAACCGGCTTCCGAGAGAAGGTAGCGGTCAGACAGGGGTGAGGTCGACAGCAAGAGCATGTTCTGGGCACAGGGGACAGCACATGTCAAGGCCCAGAGGTACAAGAGAGAAGATGCTTTAAAATTTTTTTTTTCTTTTAATGTTTATTTATTTTTTTGAGAAGACAAGAGTGTAGGTGGGGAACAACAGAGAGAGAACCTGAGACAAGCAGGCTCCTGGGCACAATCTACACAGAGCCCGACGAGGGGCTCGAACTCATGAACCGCAAGATCATGACCTGAGCTGAAGTCGGATGCTTACCGACTGAGCCACCCAGGCGCCCCCAGAGGGAAGATGCTTTTGAAGAACCAAAAAGATGCTGGGTCAGACTTCATTGTGAAGGCAGTGGCCGTGGGGGCGGGGAGCTGAGTTAGGGTATGGGTGGATGTCTTGGTACTAATATTTTGCCTGTGAGAGTATAATTATTTTAAGATAAAGAACTTTTTAAAAAGCAGTGGGATGTCTCTATAGCGTGGCAAAAACCTTAAGTTCCAAGTAAATTAAAAGCAAATGTTCACCTTACCCCAAATTAACTAGTTCATTCTTTTATTTATTTACTTTTGTGTGTGTGTGTGTGTGAGAGAGAGAGAGAGAGAGAGAGAGAATGGCAGAGACAGAGGGAGAGAGAGAGAGAGAGAGAGAGAGAGAGAGAATCCCAAGCAGACTCCGCAATGTCAGTGCAGAGCCTGATACAGGGCTCGAACCCATGAACCGTGAGATCATGACCTGAGCTGAAATTAAGAGTCAGATGCTTAACCAAATGAGCCACACAGGCACCCAAAACTAGTTCATTTAATAAATATACGTTTGATCTTGGCCAAAAGGTCAAGAAGCAATTAATTTAATAAATACATATCGGCACCTATTACGTGGAAGGCATCATCCTACACGCTACGGGAACAGCGGAGACTAAGACAGACAGACAACAGCCCTCCATCATGGAGGCATATTCCAGGGAAGGAGACAGACAGTAAGTAAACTCATATTTACAATAAGACAATTTTAAATAATGGTGAGGGTTTGAGGAAAAAGAAACCTTAAATAACACGTACCCAGATTTCAGAAAACAGTTGCTGGCTTCCCCTGGCCTCTCCTCTCTCCAAGTCTGGAAACAGGCTGCTCAGCTTCCTGAAGGTTCTTGGAGAAATATGCAAATTGCCCTGGGGGGAGCAAACCAGAAAAACCAGCCTGTGGGTCCATAGGGTGTGGGATCTGGAGGAGGAGGAGAGAGAAAGAGGCATCTGTTAGCTAATGCTTTGTCCTCTGGGCCTTCGCCCCAGTAGGTTCCCCTACCTGGGATACTTTTCTCTGCTGGACGGCAGGCAGCGGCCATCACTGAGCACAGCCCTGGCATTTCCCCTGGGCTTGTGCATTTGTTGTCTCATTTAATATCCCTGTTCTGACTTCTCCTAACTTGAGATGTGGTCGCAGCGCCCAGCTCCACGATTAGCCTGGAAGTAGCTGGCAGGCACCAGATCTCCTTCATAGCTGTACCTTGTGCCCTGAGCACATACCGGCCACGGAGGGAGTGCTCAGAAAATGTCTGTTGCAGGAATGAATGAATGAACTAGCTTTTAGGCTTAAGCAAGAGCCGTATTTTCCTGCTAATTCTCTCCCCAAAGGTGCTCCTGTTCTTATACTTTGCTGGAGCATCAGATGAGCAGGGGAGATGGGACAGGGGGCCAAGCAAGCATCTGGAATTACCCAGGGTTCCCCACAACCTCAGATAATCCGCACTTCCTCCTACTGGCCATTTTCCATGCCAAAGAACCAGAGTATGATTTTCTGCCTCTTTAATCCTTAAACAAATTTTAAGTTTATTTATTTATTTTGGGGGAGAGAGAGCGAGAGAGTGAGCAGGGCAGAGGCAGAGAGAGAGGGGAGAGAGAATCTCAAGCAGGCTCTGCACTGTCAGCACAGAGCCCAAGGTGGGGCTCGAACTCAGGAACCATGAGATCATGCCCTGAGCTGAAATCAAGAGTTGGATGCTTAATGGACTGAGCCACTCAGGCGCCCCACCTCTTTAATCCTTTTTAAGGAATTATCAGGGATAACGTCCTTCTCCTGGAGATGCCCTTCCTATGGGGCATGGCAAAGTGCCTTCACCATGCCTACAAACTACGAGACTCAAGCTATGAGTCCAACCATGTTAAAAAATGCAGAGGAGACAAAATGGCTGGAGAAATAGTCTCTCAAATTCTCCATGAAAGGTGAGATAGCTGAGGCTTTTCTGCTATACATATGTGTTGCTTTTGCATTCTGAAGAAATGCATATCTAGTATATGTACCTGCCCAGAGAGTGGAGACTGTTAGGACTCCTATCAGGATGGCAACAGTGGCTGTCTCTAATCGAAGCAGGGGGCTCTTGGATTCTGGATCATCTTAATTGTTTTTCTTTATTAATTATGTTTTGTGAATTTTCAGTAATGTGTTGATTTTATGATCCAAAAAAAAGGACATGATTTTATTTATTTTTATTTTCTATTTTTTTAATGTTTATTTATTTCTGAGAGAGACAGAGACAGAATGCGAGCGGGTTAGGGGCAGAGAGAGAGGGAGACCCAGAATCCGAAGCAGGCTCCAGGCTCCGAGCTGTCAGCACAGAGCCCGACATGGGGCTCGAGCTCACAAACCACGAGATCATGACCCGAGCCGAAGTCGGACGCTCAACCGACTGAGCCACCCAGGCACCCCAGGACGTGATTTTAACTTATAACATGGGTTGCTGACACAGGCTCATTCATACTGGCTGGGGAGAGCTGATTCAACAGGACACTGGCAGCCTGAGATGGGCCACAGTGGGAGTATTTCTACTACAGAAATTGGCAGATGCTACAAATGATGGATTTTATTTTCCAAAGAGGTGGTTAACAGTATATCACTGGATATACAAAATGATTCCAGGTGTGTTTTTTGTTTCTTAACAATTTTTGAAGAGACAGAGAGAGAGAGAGAGAGAGAGAGAGAGCGAGCACGAGCAGGGGAGGGGCAGAGAGACAGGGAGACCCAGAATCCGAAGCAGGCTCCAGGCTCTGAGCTGTCAGCACAGAGCCTGCCTGATGCAGGGCTTGAACCCATGAATCATGAGATCACGACTCGAGCCAAAGTTGGCTGCTTAACCGACTGAGCCACCCCCCGCGACCTTCCAGGTATGTTTTTTAAAACAGTTTCACAGAACAAAAAGATCACTAGGAGGGGCGCCTGGGTGGCTCAGTCAGTTAAGCATCCAGCTCTTGTTTTCTGCTCTTGCCTTTCATGAGATCGAGCCCCACGTCAGGCTCCTTGCTGTCAGGTCACTATCTCTTGGTGGCAGGGTTGTGGGACTAGAACTTATTGGGTTTTGTTCTATTTTTCCGTATTTTTGACATTTTCTGTCCTGAGCATATTGATGCTTTCATAAAGAAAACAATATTTGTATTTTTAAGTTTATTTATTTATTCTGAGAGAGAGCGAGAGAGTGTGTATGCAAGTTGGGGAGGGGCAGAGGGAGAGGGAGAGAGAAAATTCCAAGCACATTTCGCACTGAGCCCGACATGGGGCTCGATCTCACGACCGTGAGATCTTAACCTAAGCTGAAATCAAGAGTTAGATGCTTAACCAACAGAGCCACTCAGGAGCCCTGAAAAGAAAAGCAAATTTTTTTTTTAACATTTATTACATTTATTCATTTTTTTGAGAGCCAGAGAGAGAGTGTGAGAGGAGGAGAGGCAGAGAGAGAGAGAGAGAGAGAGAGAGAGAGAGAGAGAGAGAAAATCCAAAGCAGGCTCCAGGCTCTGAGCTGTCAAGACAGAGCCCGATGCAGGGCTCGAACTCACACGCGGTGAGATCATGACCTGAGCCGAGGTCAGAGGCTTCACCAACTGAGCCACCCAGGTGCCCCCGAAAAATTTTTTAATTAAAAACAACGCTGCTCTTGCCCCAGAAAAGGAGTGCTTTATCTCAGAAAGCCCTGGTCTCATGTGGCCCACCAAGCCCACGGGGCTGAGGTCCCAGTTAAGTCCCATTCCGTTGACCAATAAACAGGTCTTGTAATCAACAAGATGGACAGGGGGTAGTGTGACACACCTACCCAGTTTGTTGTGATGGAGGAGCCCCTGGTCCCAACCCTACGGACTGTCCACTTGCATGGGTTGGGTCCCCCAACTATGCCAGCTGAGGGAGTGTGGTGGCAGCTCCCCAGCTCACTGAGGGAGTGTGGTGGGGCTGGGAGATGTACCCTTGAACTGTATACACTGGTCCTCACAGGGGACTCTCCCCCTTGGTCTGATTTAGCATCAGGCTCCGGTCCAAGTTGAGCTGAGATGCCCAAGTATGTCTGAGAAGCTAAACCGATTTCGAGAGGGAGAGCTGGATTCCTGCAGTGAGAAAAAGACCTTGCTGGTCGGGGCCAGTGGTGACTCCATGCCCTGGGGCCACCTAGTGTGCACACAGCTGGTCCAGCAGCACCCACGGCCTTGGAGGTCACCGATGGACAGAGTAGCTTCTAGTCCAGGTACTGTGGAGATACCAAGAACTCTGAGAAAGGCCTGCACTTGACCTGCACTTGACCAACTGGCAGGGAAAGAACATATACATAGTGAGAATGAACGGGGTGAACACTCAGCCATGGCTAGCCTGCACAGCCCAGGCCCAGGACGGACAGGCATGCCAGAGCGGGCCTTGTCATGATGGTCTGTGACTATGAGTTTTATCTAGCCAGCTACATTACCTACCACCGAAAAAAAAAACAAAACCAAAACCAAAAACTGGTTGAGCTATTTTTGTCAGTAGTGAGGGCAGAGAGCCACTCCACATCTGTCCTCGGCTCTGCATGCACCCACAGTAGGCACTCAACCGATAATCGTTAACTAACACCATAAACAACACAGCGGGATTTCTCCTTGGGGGGGATGAAAACCTCCAAAGTCAGCACCGAGGAGAAAACCAGTATGATCAATGTTATCCTTGGATGTCCTTTAAATCACCCTTAAAACTCCATGACCTGAGCCTTTCTTTAGAAGATCACATGCAAGGATGAATTTCTTGTGTTTTTCTTACAAGCCAGCCCATTATGTACTTTTTTCCCCCCTTGGAGCAGCCAGTGAACACCAAGGTCAAATTTGATGTGAATGTATGTGTGTGGAGAGGGCGGGGAAAGTGTTCTCTTTCTCTCTCTTTCCTTCTTTTTCTGGTTAACTGGTTACAGTTGAGTTTTTATGAATGAGACTGAAGTACAATAAAATAAGCATCACTAGTGGGATAACTACAATATTACGGGAGGGCTGGGGAATGAACTGTGTTGAAGCCAAGGAGGAAGAAAAGCATGTGACCGAAGAAATTCTTCACAACAAATAGAGACACAGCACCGTTTTTAGGCCAGAAACTCTAAAGATGGTAGTTCTGAGCTCATGCCCACACACACCCATACCCCCCCCCACACCCTTGGGATCATCCTAGAAGGGAGGATTCTAGACAGTTCCAGTTCATTCCCCATCTCCCAATCCCCTCCAGCATTTTAGGAGAGAAACCCATTCATTCTATACCTCTATCTGGAACTTACATGGGAAGCCAGTGGCAGATGTAGCATCTCAGGAGGTCTCCATGGCAACAGAAGAACCCAGAGGGTTTCAGACAATTCCACTACAGACCGGAAGAAAAAAGAGATGTTGGCCCAGAGGGAAAGTTCCTATCCCATCTCACCTCAGCAGCCTGGAGGATAGTAGGTGGTGGAGTAGGGTGACAGCGTGCCCCTGGGGTAGATACTCAGGTTGTATGACATCTCGTCCACGTTGTGGTCGCCCCATTCCTCCCCGACTAGCACCCAGGTACAAGCCGAGATTATCTCAGGTGGATCCCAGCGGGAGTCTCCCCACCGGTTTCCTGCTCCGTCTGCTCTCCCCCCTGGCTGTCCACCACGCAGTGGCCAGTGAGCTCCGTCTCCCCCTGAAGTCAGCTCATGTCCCTTCTCTGCTCCAAACCTCTACTAATCCCCTTTCCATGCTCGACAGTTCTTCCAGTGGTGCCTGGTCCATATGCAACCTGGCCCCTGGCCTCTCTGCCCTCCGCCCCCTCTCCCGTCACTAGCTCTGCTCCGGCCACACCATCCTCCTTGCCGCTCCTGGAGCCCACCAGGCACGCTCTCATCTCAAGGCC